GGGGGGTCCCTCCCAGCCAAGGAGGACCATGGGAACCCACCGCCACCGATGCGTGGTGGCAGAAAAGCTGCAGGCATCTTGGAGCGCCATGTGGCAGGGATGGAGAGGGCCACCCCAAACCCACCCACCTCTCCACGCCCACAAAGAGCCAGGGCACAATAACTGGGGTCACTTGTCCCATCCAGGGATGTCAGCTCCTCCGTCCGGACAAAGTCCCAGGGGATCCCGACCCCCAAACGGCTGCTGGTGCCAAAGCAGGTGATACCAGTGGTGGCCGCTGCCATCCCACTGAGAAAGAAAATCCCAAAGACAGCAGCTGCTAAAGAGCATCCCGCGTTTATTTGACATCGCTTTCTCTCGAGGCGAGGGGGTGACCGTACACATCTCATGCCAACGCACAGGAGGCAGGGTACAAAAGCAATGCTCCGGGCCCGAGTTTGGGAGGACTGGGGGAGGGGGGTCCTTCCTCCCCAGACACATGGCAATAAATAAGGTTTTATTCTTTGAAATTTTTTATTATTTTTTGTCGGGTTTTATTTTTTCCTTTTCTTTCCCCCCCCCCCAGGAAACAAGACTCTCACTTTCTGGAACTGTACAAAATTTACACAGCGAAGGGAGCGGGGGCATTTGGCCTTGTCGAAGGGGGATGGAGAGCAGCGGGCGGCGCAGCCTCCCCTGTCCCCTTCCCCGCCAGCCACCTGCAGGTGCCCGGCAAGGCCTGGGGCTTGGCACAAAGCAGCACCCAAAGCTGGGGTGGGGGGGGCACATGGGTGCAGCTGGGGCATCTCCTGCAGCACCAACACACCCAGCCAGGGGGGGGCAAGGACAGACAGGGACATACCAGTGATGTGCTTTCTTCTGTGGCACTTTTTTTTTTTTTTTTTCCTTTTTTTTTTATTCTTTTCTCCCCTTTGCTTTTGGAGCTGCCCCAGCCCCTGGAAGCAGCCGGCTAACCAGATCTGCCGCCAGCCCTCCCCGAAGGGCAGCCTGGGATCATCAGCATCACCCCAGAGCCAGGGGGGATGGTGGGGACCCCGCGGCCAGGGAATCCCTGCCGGGCCGGGGCAGAGCCCAGCAGCCTGGGCAGTGAGCGTGGAGCTGGATTTTATCCATCGGCCTGAATGCCTTCAGCCCAGCAAGGCTGGGGGGTGAGAGCTGCGCCGGGGAGATGGGCAGGTGGCCGTCACCAAGCCCAGGGATGTGGGTTTTGAGGAAGGGGTTGTTGCTGGGTGGGCATGGCCAGGAGCAGGCCCCTATGAGGCTCGCAGGGTGTGCCAAAACCACCTGCATCCTTCCCAGCTGCCTGCACCCGCCCCCAGTCCTGCTGGCCCCGCAGCGCCAGGGGAGGTGGGCAGCTGATGTCAGGGGTCTCACCCACTCCATCCCCTCCAGCCCCCACCCCATGGGTGCTTCTGCAGCTGATTAAATGCCCTTTTTCCCCTCTTTTGGGGGGGAATTTTTTGCAATATCCTCAGAGCAAACATTCCACGCCTCTCCCACCCACCCTTCCCCAGCACTT